GGGAGCACTTCTACGGCGCTAAAACGCGTCTCCGACTGGCGTGTTTAGCGTCCTATGCGGAAGGCAAGTTCGTCTGCTTCTTCTGGAGGGTTGTGGTGACGTCAAAACGCCGAGCTCCGATTGATTCTGATTGAAAGTTAGTGGGTAAACCTCGAGGCAGCTTGCTTCGAGGTCTACCAACTATCATTCAATCAGAGCCAATCAGAGCTCGGCGCCGTTCTGACGTCACCACAACTCCACCGCAAGAAGCAGACGACTTGCTCTCCTGGCAACAGATGACTTCACCGAAGCCGGAGTGTAATACTATCGGGTGTGGCGATCCTGGTAGTTGGGCCTAGAAGTCCCACAAGAAAAGCAGGAGAGAACGTGAGTGTCCCTCGCTTGGATCCTGAAGCTTTCGTGGATTGTCAAGCTGGAGAGCGATCGGGAAGCAGAACAGGTGTCTGCTAACATCCACCCCCGCTGCACGATCGCGACTGGTTACAGTATATGACACGTCTATGAAGGCCTCGGGGGGAAATTGAGGGACCACGTTTTAGGAGGTAGTAAACGGACCATTCGGAGACGTGCTTGAGGCACCATGGTAATACCCGGTATGTCCATTGAAGTTGGCGCACTCGGTTCATGTTGCAGATTTGCAATCAGTCGCGTAAACATCGAGTGCTGTTAAAACCCACAATACAAAGTCTTCCCGAGGAATGAAAATATTCCCCTTTATTTTTTTTCTTTGCGTACATGAACGGGAGAAGGAAGGAACATCGCTTGCGCGATTTAGATGGGAGTCGATGAAAGATTTTTGAACTCGGCTTTAAGGTTGTTCACTCAGGAGAGGCTTTCTGTTGTGCACAGCCTCTGCTGGATGCAAGCAGTGGTTTTGCCAACGCTTCCGGTCCGCTTTGGAGCGTCTCTTGCTAGAGAAAGAGTCTCCTTCCGCTAGTGTCCTTGGACAGAGCCTTGGAGCCTGCTTTTGTCCTAGGACAAGACGTAGTCATTCACATACCCTACTGGCTGTCGTCAGGGCCTCCGCTGTTGTTGTCACTCCCAGCCTCCCGAAAAAAAAGAAAGGGGAGATGACAGCGAGGAGCCGAAGGGGAAAGCCCTGCTGTTTTCTTGGTTCATGTCCTCACTGAAAACGTGCGCGGGGGTTGAAATGTTCACGTTTACTAAAACAAACATAAACCTTTTTTTTTTTTTTTTTGCCGTGCACAGCCCTTTACACGACATCGGTGATCGGGAAGACGAGAGTCCGTTGTAATTTTTTTTCTTGTTTAAAATTGCAGTCTCAAACCCATAAAAAGCAAAAACACGAAACAAAAATTGTGGTCTGCTCACTAAGAGTTTAGAGCTTAACGCTTATTATTCGTTGTTGAGAAAGCGCCCCGACTACTTTCTCAATCCGCGGCACTGAACCCTGAAGAACGTAGAACTGATGCAAAATAACAACTCTTCGAGAAAAGTGACTCTTGCTTGTTTTTTTACATATGAAATACCTTAAAATAAAAAAGAATAAGAGTGCTCTCTCAGGGAGCGCACACACTTTCAGAAGAGGTCAGGCCGACACTTGAAGAAGGAATTTCATGAGAGGCCTAAAGGAGAACGTTTTAAGTTTCGTCCCAAGCCGCATAGCCTAGCCGAGCCGAAATGAGTTCAACTGTTCTGCCTTTTTCATGTTTCTGCCTGATTGCCACAGACGCAACTGACCGGGTATTTTTCTTGAACAACAGATGCCATAGAAAGCAAACGTTAACAAGCTCGCTTTCGGGAAGTTGCTTGCCAATTCATTTTCCTTTTATTGTGTTTTATACATGACATTTATTTCCTCGCGCAATCCTTTACCTTGCACAGGCAGTGTGAAAAGTCAGTGAGTCCACTTTCCTGCGGAGCAAGGAGGCAGTAAATCAGTTCGATTGCGCTGACCGAGACAAGGGGAACACAATATGTGTTCAGCGGAAACCACAAACTCCCACATAGCGCGTTCGTCGAGCGAGATACTTCCCCTTAAAACGCAGAGCCACCTATTAGAAATAATTTTCCAAAGAATGTGACGTAAAGATTATTCTCCCACACAGCTCCGCTCTGTGAAGCTGTTTCTTACGCATCTGCTCTTTTCGCAGTTATACTCGCCGCCCGAGCACGTGCGTCGCTTATCTCGATTGGTGTGATATCTAGTTAAGAATCACTTGGTCGCGCGGAGTGACAACGAACAAGTAACACGTCGTGCACATAATGATTTTTTTTCATGTGCGTGATTGCATTTTGAGCCTTATGATTCTCTAAGATTTTTGTCTTGTTCGCCGTGATTGGCTATCAAGGTGTTATGCAGAAAAGTACTGGGCGGACTTTTCCAGGGTGCAATAAAGACTGCGATTTCGAGAAGCTCAAAGTCGCAAATGCCTCTCACACTGAAAAAAAAAAAAAGACGACTGGCAATATGTAACAAAATTTCCCTTCCTTCGGAAAAAAAAAAGAAGTTTGGCTAAACTTTGCAACTGAAGCGCCCAGAATCCGACATGCCTGCTCACAGGTCTCCACCAGGCGGTTCGACGGTCCACACTGAGCAAACAGGCACGAAGCAACTGGAAGTAAGCGGCTTGTCCCGGAAGCGAGCGTTTGACAGGCCTTTTAAATCTTTCGAGCGTTAGTTCGAACAATGACCAGACGCTTTTTTTTTTTCTTGTTATTTTAAAAGAGCCAGCTTGTTGCAAAATAACAGCGCATGCAGACTCGAGAAGTCTTCTGGGAAGCCATTTGATGCGTCCAAATATCGAGAACTAATTGATCGACTGTGCCTGCCGCATGTTCAAATGTTCCATTCCCGAGATTCAGTGCACACGGAGATTAATAAAGATCACTTAGAAACGCGAGAGAGCACGAACCAAAGCACCGATTGAATGTACGCCCAGCAGACGCCCGACTTTCAGGATGAGCATCGACCTCCCGGCGGCTTCACTCGCGCTCACCTGTGTTTAATGCGTCCTAAAACGTCGTCCCTCGATGTTCCCCTGTTGTGTTCCACGAAGTGTCCTAATGTCGCTGACCGCGATCCCGATACGCGTTACAGCAGTTGCGGTGCACGTAGCAGACGTTTGTTCTGCCGCAAAGTATTCACGCTGGTGTTGGCAGTGCGCAAGCTCAGACGCTTCATCTCACGCGCCAACCCCTGGTGTGGGCTGAAGACACTGGATCCTGGAAAAGTAGCCCTCCCCTACCTGCTAGCCGGACACAAACATATACTTATATACAGACGACCAAAAACCTCGCAATGCGATTGGCTAGTCTTCCTGCGTTGCCATGGAAACCGCCATATCGCTCGAAGCTTCCAGAGGGCCTAGATCACCATGGAGCATCATCGTACTGGAAGCGTTCCTCGCCAATATAAGCGTTTTTGGCACTGTGTATGCAATCAACTTATCGATCATGCCCATCTCCACGGATCTCTCACAAATATATTGTTCTTGCGTATTTCAATACAGTAAACTTCTTTTTCAGTGCCTCCAAACACCGACACAGCATGTGGTGGTAATACGAAGATGCACGCTTGTTTCGCCGGTATGTGGATAGACAAATCTCGGCACACAAAAAACGTCTCCATAAAGCTACCCGACACCAGCGAATTGAGATTGGCTCACCGAGAATGGAGAAATCAAGGAGAAAATGTTCATTACAAGGGCCAAAATGGCGACCATCCGGGGAGCTTGGCGCTCCTTTCCCAGGATCCAGTGACTTTAGTCTGAGCAAAAGCGGGGCCTCCTTGTAAACAACGTGTTGGTGAAAGCAATGCGTCGGACTAAAGGTGAAACAACGTGTAACCGTGAGTCCGAACGCAGTCGACGTTACGATCTGTTGGGACCAATCAAGCAGTGTCACAACCGAAAGTAACTGCAATAAAATGGTGTGTTGAACTGGTTCGTTCATTTTATACGGAAAGAAAAGCGGGAAAAACTAAGACAGAGTACAGAAAACGACAACACGAGGCGCACTCGCAACTAAAGTTTTATTTAGAAAAACACTGTCTTAAACACACTTTAAACATTCCACGTCATTTTACACGTGCCCAGTCTTCATTCAAAGCGTATATATTAGAGCGTATATTTTTAGATAAAGAGGGGGCACGTGAAAAATGGCGTGGGGTGTTTCAACGTGTATTTAAGACAGTGTTTTTCTAAATAAAAATTCAGTTGCGAGTGCGCCTCGTGTTGTCGTCTTCTTTGCTCTGTCCCTGTTTTTGGCGCTTTTCTTTCCGAAAGTAACTGGGCCTTCCGTGTACGTAATTCCTTGAGCGACGATAGAACACGTATAGAAACATGGTGAACGCGATCTTGGTGCACCTTTAACGCTGTTGCGTTGGTCCCATGAGCTCGTGGCGTCCAAACTCAAGGCGAATCGAAGTGTACGTTTATAGTAGAAGAGTCAGTGGGCCTGTCGCCTACAACCCTCGCAGAGGTGACCGCCGTCATGGAGACGCACGCACACGGCAGACGGATCCCGCCTGGCCGGCGACTTCGTGCCTCGAGAGACGCCACTTTGGATGCGCGTTTGCTTTGGCCGCCTCGGCTGCAATCGCTTTTGGATGTTCCCTTCCGTCGCCCGGTCAATCTGGGGACGGTCAACGGTTGCCGCCTTCCGCCGATGCCGAGCGTGACGGGACAAAGAGGGGCCCCTCCGTGTGCAACCTGTGATTATGGGCAGGCTTTTTTTCTTCGCGGGGTTCCGGGCGTTACGCGAACGGACTTCCCGTAGGGCCTGGCGACAAAATCCTTTTGTGCTCCGTCCCTAGAACCTTCAGACGAGAAAAAGCGAGGGGAGGCGGAGGGAGAGAAATAGAAAACAAAAAAAAAAAAAAGAAAAACGTTCGAGTCTCTGTGAGGAGTGACAAAAAAGGGAGAGCGTGAAATAGAGAAGAAAAACGCATGGTTGGCTCACGAAACTTGATGAAAGCCAGCGAAAGGCGCTTAAAGCAGGATGGGCGGAATGATTACCGTTTCCTGCAGGAGTAAACAATGCAGAAATTGCTTTGTAAACGGAGAATACAGATGCGTAGACTTAAGAAACCGGTTTTGGCGACGTCGGAAGCAACGTTGCTCATAGCCGTTCTCTTTGAAGCTCTAATATTGTTTGAACGGCAATCGTCCCCAAAGGACAAGGCGGTATTTTTCTTTCTCGCCATAGCTGGCATAAGAATGTACACATGGTTCACCAACGTTTACTGTAAGAACCTTTATTTTTGCGGCCCCTGTTTTTCGCGAATCGGTCAACCAGGACATAATCGCGGCCACCACATTTCGCGAGTTCCGGACGCCTGCAAAATTTTCGCATGCCCCTAAATTTCGCAAATTTTTGTTTCGCGACATTCGCGAAACTTAAGGACTCGCAAACATTAAGGGTTTAACAGTAGGCGAAAAACGAGGGTAAAAAGGGGAACAACAAAACTGAGGTCGGCCCATTTTGTTTTTGCTTAAAACTTTAAACTGGTTGCGAAGTACGTACACTTTTTAACTCTGTTTAGTAGAGCCAGCCTTTTGCAGCGCCTGTTGCAGCGTCTGTTATAGCCTGTTGCAGGCTACGACAGAGGGGCACCGACCCCCACGAATGCAACCGAACTGTGCTCTTTTCTGGGGCTGCTCACCCACCGATTTCTTCCTAACATGGCAGCTTATAGATAGTGTAAATAAAAGTTTGCTTGAACGTAACCATCGACGACTACCAGAGGTTTTTCTACATTGGCGCCGAAACCCGGGAGGAACGACTGATGGAATGGAACCTGGTGGTTCACAGCAACTTTTCATCAAGCCAAGCCAGAACGATCAGCGATCATAAACGTCCTCAAGACGAAACGGAAGACGCATCGGATGCAAGTGACACAACTTACTGGTGAGGCCGACGCGTTACTACTCTTAGCTACGCCAAGCGTCACCATCTCGAGGTTCTAATCGAGCGCATTCATCTGGCCCGCGACCAACTGAACGACGTGGACGCAGCGATCGAACCTCTGATCACGGGGCAAAAAGCAGAAGCAGAGTTCACTCATGCGATTGAGTACTCGGACAAGATCGTTACGTACCTCACTAAACTCAAAAAAAAAAAAGATGAAGAGCGCGGAGGGCAGCCACCCAGCAAGGGCACCATCGAACGGAGATCGGAACGGAGGATCCTCGGTGACATCAAAAATCTAACTCCCAAAATTAAGACTAATCCAATTCAACGGGCACCTAAAGGACTGGCAACCCTTCTGGCAGCAATTCAATACCGCCATTCATCAAAATCCGGAACTCACGCCATCAGAAAAGTTCAACTATCTGCGATCAGCGCTGACCGGCGATGGAGCAGCCGCCATCGGTGGACTGCACCCGACCGCTGAGTGTTACGCGGACGCCATCGAGCTCCTGCAGCAGCGGTTCGGGAAGCAAGAGACGCTCATCCAGAACCACATGGAAAGTCTCATGGACATACAGCCAGTGCCACCACAACGAAACACCCGAGCCCTACGGCGTTTATACGACACTCTACAGGCGCACATCAGAGGCCTTAGAGCGTTAGGGGTGGGCGAGGAGGTGGGGACACAGTTCTTTTGTGAGTGCTACAGAAAGATATCACTCTCGATTTCAACCGGAAGATGTCGGCGGAGGATACCGGGAATGCCAACGCCGCAAGAGCATCAATGACAAACGCCAGCTTGGAATCCGCCCCACAGCAAGTCCACCTGAGGGCTCTGCGGTTTCTCCGGGACTTTCTACGCATCGAGGTGGAGAGCCGCGAAAGGACATCAAAACACCAGCTGGAAGACGTCGTCGGTAAGCCCAGACCTCCTTCTCTGACGCATGGCTTTGTGAAGAGGTCAACGATCAACGCTCAGACTCGCAGCTCTACCGCGGCGGCATTGAACGGCAGCGTGGACGGCTTAGAGTGCTTCCTTTGCAAATCAAAAGCGCACGGAACACCGGAATGTAACGCAAGAATCGGGCTAGCGGAAAAGAAGCGTAGGTTGCAAGCAGACCGGAGGTGCTTCCGCTGCACGAAGGCCAATCACATGGCAAGATTATGTCGTGGAGCACCCAGCTGTGGCAAATGTCAAGGCGGGCACGCGTCCACCATGTGCAACCCGAATCACGCGCCGGGAAAAACGTCCACCAGATTGAATGAGACGAAACCGAAGGAACCGGCACCGGTCGCCATGCATGTACGTGGTAGGAACAGTAAGCCGGCAGTGCTCCTACAAACGCTTACTGCGTGGGCAGAAAGTACAAACAAAAGGAAGCTTGCCCGTATTATCTTCGACAGCGGCAGTCAGCGCTCCTTCATAACTGAAGAACTGTCTCAGCGACTGGACTGCAAATTGCTCGGGACAGAGATCCTCACAATAGGCGTGTTCGGGGGCGAAAGCACTGAACGTACGTTTCGCAGGGTTCAAGTGACTTTGCGAGACCAACTCTACAACAAAAGATATGACATCGACGCTCTTGAGACACCTATCATATGTGAGCTGGACCTTCCGAGCCCAGATGAAGCCATCGTGGCAACATTAGAGGAACTCGGCTGTCCCGTGGGAGACAACATGGCCGGTCTGGAAGAAGGCGGCGTCGACATACTGTTGGGATCAGACCACTACTGGGGGTGCACCACAGGAAGAATTCACCGACTGAGCGGATGCCTGACTGCAGTAGAAGCTGCATTCGGTTGGGCGGTCCAGGGACGGACAGGCTCGGAAACAACCATCGTGAGTTGCTCCCAGGCGACCGTGCTAATAGCAACGCTGCAGGATCTAGAAACCACATCGGTTCTCCGACATTTCTGGGAACTAGGAAGCGTGGGAGTTACCGACCCGCCAGTAGAAAATCCCTCGGACAGTGCCGTAAGACGAGAGTTCGGAGCCAACATGACGAAGACCGCCGGTAGATACGAAGTGGGCCTTCCATGCAAATCGGACGTAAGGCTGGCAAACAACATGGAGGTGGCAAGAAGGAGGTTGGAGAACCTACGTAAGAAGTTGATCAAAAATCCCGATCTCCTACAGAAGTATGACGAAGCGATTCGGCAATACCAAGACAACGACATGGCGGAGAGGGTCGATGAAGAAACAGAGAACGAAGGTGCAGCAAGGGTGTATTACATGCCCCACCATGCTCTTCTCCGCGAGAACAGCAGCACCACAAAACTTAGGATTCTGTTTGACGCTTCCTCTCACGGCGCAAATTGTAAATCCCTGAACGAAAACTTGGAGAGTGGACCGAACATGAATCCAGATCTCGTCGCCCTACTTCTGAGGTTTAGAACGTTAGTGGCGGATGTGGGGAAGGCTTTCCTGCAGGTCGGAGTCAAGGTCGGAGTCAAGGCGCAAAAACCCCTCGGACAAGTAGCGAACGTGCTCAAGGTGCTCGGAGTGACTTGGGAACCCAAAGAGGACAGTCTCATGTTTTCGCCGGAGCACGTGACGAAAACTGCTTGCCACCAAGAAAATACGAAGCGCTTCGTGCTGCAAACGAAAGCTCGCCTTTACGACCCTCTGGGATTCTTGGCACCCTTCGTCGTGAGAGCCAAGATCCTGTTCCAGGAAATCTGGAAACTAAACCTGGACTGGGACGATGTGCTACCAAATCACCTGCAAGACGAGTGGACTGGGCGGAGCAGCGAACTTGTCGAGCTAGAAAGGGTCAAGATCCCAAGGTTTTGCGACGACGGATTGCTAGGTAAGGTGACCCACCGATCATTGCGTATCTTCGCCGACGCGAGCACCGCTGCCTACGGAGCCATGGTCTACCTTCGCACTACCGACGACACAGGAGCGACGACGACGACGTTATTGCTTGCAAAAGGACGAGTTGCACCACTCGAAACTGTCAGGCTGGCGAGACTGGAACTGATGGCCAGCTTGATCGCCTCAAGGTTGTCCAAATACGTTCAAACCTGCCTTCAGCTTGAGGTGAAGGACGTTCACTTCTGAACAAATTCAATGATCACGCTTTACCGGATCAAGGGAGAGGCCTCCCGATGAGAGATGTTCGTCAGGAATCGAGTGGAAGAGATCCAGAGTAATTGTGAAGGCGCGACGTGGCACCACTGCCCGGGAAAAGAAAACCCCGCTGACCTCATGACACGAGGTCTGACCGCATTCCAGTTGGTCTCCAGTTCACTGTGGTGGTCGGGGCCGAGTTCGTTGCCACTGCCAGTGACAGAATGGCCCAAGAAAATTTGCGAAGACCTCCCTCCAGACGCCCTCGAGGAGAGAGGATCGAGAGCGGAAGTTTTTGAAGTCACGGTAACGCCCATTCCAGAGTTGATCGATATCTCGCGATTCAGCTCTGCTTCAAGTATCAACAGAACTACGGCTTGGATCTTTCGATTCCTCCACAACGTCAGGTCAACTGAAAGACGAACGGGACCACTGAGAGCCAAGGAGATTGAGGCAGCGCGAACTCACTGGATAAAAGAGGCGCAGCACTCGGCGTTCGCTACCGAGCTTCGCTGCACGACCAACGCTACGAAGACCCCGCCGGGTTCTCCCTTCCAAGACATTGCCACTTTCATCGATCAGCAGGGAGTACTTCGCATTCGAAGTCACCTCCAGTCCGTCAACATGACGTATGACGAACGAAACCCGATCGTCCTGCCCAAGTAGCATCGATATTAAATTTTGCTGGCAATCAACGCGCACCGACAGCTGCTGCCACGCGGGAGTCAGAGATACTCTCGTGCAGCTCCGTAACCAGTATTGGATTCTGCGGGGCCGAGAGCTGGTGAAGAAAGTGGTGCGTGCCGCGTGACCTGTCAGCACTTTAGCACGAACCCCGCGAGTGTCCCCACGGGACCCTTGCCGGATGCCCGGACAACACGAGCGGACCCTTTCGAGGTAGTCGGTTCGGACTTTGCGGGCCCCCTCTTTGTCAAGGGCGAGGACCTCACGTGCAAGTCCTACGTGGTGCTGTTCACGTGTGCAGTCACGTGGGCTGTACATCTGGAGTTGGGTCCAGACCTGTCGACCCGGCGCTTTCTCTTTGCCTTCCGTCGATTTGTGTTGCACCGAGGGCTGTGCCGTGTAATTTATTCCGACATTGCGTTGACCTTCAAACCAGCGTCGAAGGAACTCACGGAACTGTGCAAGACGTTGCGCCACCCAGACATGGTCAACCACTTTGCGAACGCGGGTATGGTGGCATAACGCGGGTATCCAGTGTAGGTTTATTGTCGAGAGACCGCCATGGGGCAGGGAGGATTTTATGAGAGGCTTGTGCGCTTGGTAAAGGTGTCTTTAAGAAAGATTATCGGAAGGAACTGTCTCGACACAGAGGAATTGACCACCGTTCTGATTAAGGTAGAGGCCGTGTTGAATTCGCGGCCATTAACGTTTGTGCACGACGGGGTCGGAGAGGGGACCCCGCTCATGCCGGCCAGTTCCTAGTTGGAAGGCGGCTGACGACACTTCCGCCGACGGGTGGGGACACGCTCGCTTCCACACCGGAGGCTCTTCGCGTGCTCTGGCGGCAACGAAAACAACTGCTTAACCGATTTTGGGGAACATGGAGGGAAGAGTATCTTCGAGAACTAAGATCAGCATACGCCACTCAGAGAAGGCAGTCTGCGCCCATCAGAGAGGGTCAAATTGTTCTCTTAGAAGAGCCGCTTCCACGCCTGCTATGGAAGCTCGGGCGAGTAAAAAGAGTGTTCCACGGCCGAGATTCTCGGATCCGGTCGTGTGAGATCCGAGTGCATCGCGGCACCATTTTGCGAAGGCCAGAGCAGCTTGTGTATCCGTTGGAGTTAACGAAAGTTTAGAATGGACTCCCATTCATTCGGTGGGGAGTGTGTTGGAACGTTTAAGTGGTTCGTAATAAGCCATATCCCTGGCACGAGGAGATCGAAGACGACGAAGTGAAAAAGAGAGGATTGAGAGCACGTGCGTCGAATCAACTTGGGAACGACACGTCATATCGCATCGCTTGCAGCTTGTAGATACTGTAAATAAAAGTTTGCTTGAACGTAACCATCGACGACTACCAGAAATTCCTACAGCTACCTTGTTAGCACCGTCATACGAGCTGCTCGGGAATGATCACAAGTGGCGCTGGGGACCGCGGCAAGAGGTCGCCACGGGGATCTCTTGCCGCGGTCCCCAGCACCACTTGGGACGGCGGGCAGGGGTGGGGTTCACTCCCCACCCCTGCCCGTTTCCACGAAACGGGCAGGGGTGGGGAGTGAACCCAGGATCCCTGGATTCTGCAGCGCGAGCTAACACAGTCGGCCACCGATAACGATGACGTTAGGTACTCTTAAGGCCATAAAAACAATTGTCAACTAGGCATCTCAAGTTGAGACCCGTGGAAGCGCAAATTGAAAGTCCGATAGAATGCTTGACGCAAAGAATTATCTCAATAACAATTAAAAAAAAAAAAGAATACACAACCGCAAGCCGGTACATCGTACCGGCCTGCGGGTGTGTATCACTACTGCGTGGTACACGTTAAAGACCCCAGGCTATTGAAGATAGAGTGAGTAGGGAGGCGAGCTGGTTGATGTTACACATATTTGAAAAACCGGAGACGGGGGGGGGGGGGGGGGGGGGGGGGGGGGGGGGGGGAAGGGAAGGGGACAACACACAAAACGTCTAAAAAAGTTGAAACGTTTTGTGTTTTCGTCGTCCCCCACCCCCCCCCCCCCCCCCCCCCCCCGTCTCCGGTTTTTAAAAAATGAGTAACCCGAGGCTAGGCGGTTGTACCGCACTGGCTAAATTCCTCATCGACAGCGTAAACCAGTTTCGCCGCATCTCAAAGGCGGAATGATTCTACACAGTATAGACACAAAGGTCAAATTAGCTTTTTTTTAATTACTTAGCTAAATGTTTCGGCTCTCGTAATGTGCTGTAATCTTGTTTGTTAAAAGTCTGGAATTCCCAAGTATAAATATTTCGGCATCTGCATTAAATTTTCAAATATGAGGGTAATCAAGGGGCGTTAAATTTGTAGAGAGAGTTTTCTCGGATTGTTTATAAATATTGCTATAAATATAAATGAAACAGTGACCCCAGCCAAATCGTGCGGAACATACTATCGCAGCGAAGAACTACTTAAAGAGGCGGTGCAACATTTTTAGGACTTTGGCCAATTAATTGAGGAAATTAATCTGTGTCACCTATAGAACGAAGAACAGAAAACCGTATTTCCCCGCAAGCGCTAGTTTTTTATTTAAAAAAAAAAATGAAACAAATCGAAGGACCTCCGACTCTCGGCGTCGCCTATCGCGTGACGTACTCTGGGGAATCACGTGGTTTCCCCTCGGACTTTCTCTTTAGAGACCCCAGCCGCTTTCTCCGCGCTTGTCGACTTTTGAAGGATTAGCATCGTCGAAGGTCGTGGCGAGCGATCGACACAAAACACGGTTCGCCATGGGGCCGACGGCGAGTGCAGCGGAAGGGGACAGGTATTTGTTGATTTACGCGTATCCCCCCCAGAGACGATGTCACCGTAGTTCCCGTAACCACCACACGCGGCCGCAGATCGGCAAATAATTAGTTTTTTTTTCGCGATTACGCACGGGAATAGCACTTTCTCGGGGCAATGTCACGCGCCTTTGGTCACTTGCGCTTGGATAAACAATATAAAAAATACAAACTGAAAATACTTTCAACATTAAAATCGTTGCACTACCCCTTTAAGCCCTGGTGTTTTCAGATACGCTTTCGCTCTAGAATTTATTCAAATTCTGAACGTTTAGCGCTTGGTGGAATTTGCCCAGAACGTTTTGCAAGAAGCTACATTTTGTATTTTTCGTTAAAGGTAAATTTACCGACTGTGGTGTTGGAAGCGGCATTCGACCGTTTGTAGCAGGTTTTATAACAGAAAAAAATATTGGTTTGCAGCAACCACTCACGATTTTGGAGAAGATGTCAACATCTTTTAGCAGTTCAATGGAAAATTAACAAAAGCAGTGATTGCATCGCTAAATGGAACACAGCCTTCTTTTCAGTAGGTTTCATCTACAATGCGTATTATAAAAATGGTTGAAAAATGAAACAGTGCAACACATCAATCAAGATTAAGTCTCTCTCTCCCTTCTTTTCTTAAACTCGGTAATTTATTTAGCTTGTAATTATGATACATGTAGAGTGCCAACAAAAAGCAGCATATTCGCTTAAACGTCTATCAAGTTTTCTGAACCTTCAGGTTTTCTAACGCTACAAAACTCAAGAATCTAATAGCCTAAACCGCAAGAATAACCTACTCCAAAGATTATGAAAACCTACAGTAGTGCTGTAATAGTTATACTGCACTTTAAGTGCGTTAAAACCAGAGCTCAGTCAAGGTTCGCTGCCGTTTCGCATGACTGCTGCACGGGAACTGCATTGACTACCATATTTATTTAAATATAGACGGAAATTTCTTCTTTATTTTCTTTCTCGGCACAGCCTTTTAAAATTAGAGGTCAGCCTATAGTCAAGACCCAATAAAGAAGGCGCTTCCCGATGTCAGCCGCTGTTCCTAACACCCCGGAGCAAAGCGACGAAGTTCGACGCGCGCGCGGTGGTGTAAGGCGGGAAAGGTTGACGCAAGAATAGCAACTGCCGAGCTACACAGTAGCCATGGCATGGTGGCATGTGGCAGACAGAATCAGGAACTCAGAAACTTCATATTCACGGCATTAGAGGACATGCGGCCCTTTTCAGAAGGTTCTACTTAGACAACCGGAGTCAGCATATCAATAATAATGGTCACATCTCCGATATAAATCCTTTAAAATATGGCGTACCATAAGCAAGTATTCGCGAACCGCTGCTTTTTAACATGCACCGTTAATATATCACCGCAGGCAAAATTTATCATTTACGCTGACGACAATAGCATCTTTTTATCCACTCAAAATTACAACGACATTGTACAAGTAGCAATTGACATCGTAAGAAAACTAGAAAGTTGGTCTACTTCAAATAATGTTTGATTAAACAAAACGAAA